TTGAAGTAAAACAGAAGCACAAAAAAAATTACTCTAAGCGCATAGTGCAATGACGGTTACACCATAGGTTGTACGGTGAAGCTCTTGCCTACTGCATTCGACCAAGCCTAACTGGTCGACCAATCCGCCTGATACCAAGCCTAACTGGAGATTGTTAGGATTGGCACCAAGCCTAACTGGTACCAATCCCGGCTTGGTACCAATCCTGGCTTGGTACCAATCCTTCAAGCCTAAGATTGGAACTGGTGCATGCCTAAATGTGCTCACTACTCTCGTGTGTTAGGACACAGATAGGTGTATCCATCGGCCCGCTAATAATATGTGTGTCTGTCTGGCTGGCTGCGGACATACATAACATTCAGGCATTTTAATTCGATAAAACCCATTCCTTTACAGTCAAAACAATATCATTATCATCTAATCAAGCTGAGCTGGAATTTGCCACCAATAGAATCGATTCCGGAGGTCGCTTATAAACATTTTCTGATTCCCCATAGTCGACTTATTCCACAAGATAACGCTTTCTGCGCTCGCCCGGTCCATTGACTTTAGGAACTTATATGTACGGAACGACCTTCCATTACTTTGAATCCAAAAGAACGTTCACACCTCCCTTCGGTCGGTGTTCGCTAAAGGACTATCTAAAATACGTTATGATTTTTCTTTGATTTCAGTTGTAAGCTTCGTAATCTAATCTAAATCTTGTTTTCTCTAGACTCTCCAAAGAACCTCAGAGGTCCAGAAGTATTTCTGAATTCAAGACAATGCTCACGTCTCCCTTCGGTCGGCGTTCGCACCCAGGATAGTTGAGAAATGTTGTAAGCTTCTCTCATTCCACGGAAAAAGTGCACAATGTAACATAAAGCTTAAGCGTTTTCCGGACACCCTCTGAAAAGCCGGAGGGGCTGGAAGCATTCCTGATCGATTCATCATGGTAGACTATCTATAATCTGTAAGTTTTATTATTCGTAGATTACTTTTTGTGTTATCAAAACTGACTGATTTCTGGCGACATCTATCTCCGAATTTCAGAAAAATATCTGACAGCCATTGTTCTATATTTTGTGCATAGACACACACACAAGCACCCAGACAACCATCTTGTAAGACCCAAGACTAAAGTCAAGGGAATATCATTTTCATCCAATCAAGTTGAAGCTTTCGACCAATAGAATCGATCCTAGTGGTCGTACATAGCCATTTTCCGATTCCCCATAGGCGAATACCTACTCCATATCATTTTTATCCAATCAAGTGGAAATGATGTTGTCGACCAACGGGATCCACCGTAGAGGTCGCTCATACGCATTTTCTGATTCCCCATAGTCGAATACCTATTCCATATCGTTTTCATCCAATCAAGTCTCAGCTACTAAAAAGTTGTGTGTCGCTAGTATCTAGTCTGCGGACAAACATAGAAACATACATACAGGCATTTTAACTCGATAAGACCCTTTCCTTTACAGTCAAGGGAATTTCAGAATAAAATACAGTTGGATATTTTTCGAACAACTTTTAAACGAAAAGACATAGGCAAGTGTAACTTCCTCTGTTCTACAGAGGATTTTGGGGGACGTCTTTTCGTAAGCAAAACAAATTCTGAAATCTTTATCCAAAGCAGGATTTTGAGAAGATTTTTGAAAAACCAGACTACTATCGGCACTAAAATACAGTGAACTTGAATGTTTTTTGAATAACTCGAGAACGTAATGAGCTAAACAGCTGCGGTTTTGAGATTATGAAAGAGGGCACCCGGGGCCATAATCTTATGCTATCTTCGAAGACCTATCTATCGACCAAACTTGTGCTCTAGGATATTCTTGGCGGCGATATTGGTGCTCGAGAATTTGAAGTTGCAGATTTTTGTACTCCAGATGACGGTAATGACGAGGAAATTTTTGTTTTTAGTTTTTTATTTTCATCTTCTAATTGTCTGATGACATTCATTAAATGTTCATTTTCAGCTTTTAATTTTGCGGTATTTGCACGTCTTCGTTGGGGTCCTTCTTTTTTCCGTAATTCAGTTCTTGTTTGTGTTGAGGTTGTTGTATCAGTATTACACACTGATGGTATTGATTGTTGTTGTTGTGCTTGTGCCCGCCAGTGAACTTTTCTGTAAGCTTCTTTTTCACGAAATGGTTTATCGAATCATTTTGACTGCAAACGCCTCAACTTAACTTTTTCATTATATTTTTTATTATAAGTGGCATCTGACTTTGTGGCTTTAGGTGCCGTTTGCCTCACAGTAATCGGAAATATTAACACGATTTACTATAGTGACTAAACCTACTGTCCTGACTTTGGGACACGTGACTTTGGTACTCCTGAAACATGGGCGTCCAAAACCCACAGCAATTATTGCCAAAATCAATAATTTTTAATTGCAACATGGAAGCTAGATAGCCCAAAGTGTTCTCTACAATTCTGCGCAAGACCGACCCTCTATCTATTGTGGTTCTCGAATGGCAGCCATTACGCGACGGAATGGTAACGAATTACGGGTGACTCAGGAAAATGTCTGCCATTCGAGAACCACAACAGATAGAGAGATCGGCCTTGTGCAGAATTGCAGAAAACACTTTGGACTATCTAGCTTCCATGTTACAATTAAAAATCCACCGCAGATTCAGCATCTGACAACTCCATCGGTTTTCCTCCGTCAGGTATACCACCTGAAAAACCGAGATTTTTAGTACAAAATATATATGGAGATAGAGTAAAGCCTTCTCTACAAAATGCTGAAAATCTGAACTTTCTGTCTGTTTTCATTCTCGAGTTATTGAAAAAAACATCCATGGCCGCTCTATTCAGAAATCAATAGTAGAAACCCCGTTTGCCTAAAACCGAATATAAATAACTGCTTATGGGTAACATTTTGAAAAGGCAAATAAAGGAATTTATAGCGCTTGGTAATCTCTGTCGAATAACGTATTACTTCACAATTTCTAATAAACCGTTAATTTGCAAATAAAAATGTAAGGCACCAGAACGATACTAATTAGTATTCATTAGCATGATTAATTATAAATTATTGTCTTAAAAAAACGTTTTTTAAAACTGTTTTCATTAGACCATAACAGCAGACCATTGGCTATTAAACAATGCATGAATGACTTTTCTACGATTATTTTTGACTCTGCTATAGGTCTTTTAAAACGAGAACTAGGATCTTAAATTTATTTAAACCTGTTTAAACCTAGAATTATTCTAATTAAAGTTAGACTTAATTGATTAATAACTCTGTGAATAGCTATCAGTTCATCGAAAAAGTTGACAGATTGTTTTTTTAAGACAATAATTTATAATTAATCATGGTAATGCATACTAATTAGTATCATTCTGGAAAGACCGAATTGAAAGCACCGTAAAACGTGTATGGTAAAACATTCATTTAAGATAAAGGACGCTGATTCCGAATATGATATTTTCATTGCATAAAACTTCAGTCATGATGAAGAAAATGTAGAAGTACAGGCAGAATTCTGATTTTTTTCGCTTCTGATTTCGACAAAATGAATTTCCTCAGTAACAAAGCAAAATGAAAAAAAAAAGCAATCCGTACTTGTAAAGCTCGTTCAATAACAGTTCTGACGAAGCACGAAAATCGACGTCATCTCTTCACACAAAAACCTAAACAGGCTTGCAAAACTGTTTATGAACTTTTTATAGAGGGAGACCGAGACATCCATGCTGGATACGCCTTCGACTTCGACATCGATCTAGCATCATCCTCACCTCCCAAATTTTACTGCTAAACCTGAAAAAGATGCTCTCGAAAAGCACGAGAAAAGAAAAAAATTGAGTTCTATCTCTAACTCGCAAGAGGGTGGTTTTCAGAGACTTTTTTTTGGAAATTCCTCAAAGATCTTGGCAAGCCCGCTGATTGCTACGTGCCTGGATGTCCTCAGCTCTTGTCAATTCGACGGCGAAGGTCCAAACTCGCCAGCTAGTAATGTTTCTGAGTTATTCAAAAAGCAACCGTGTTCATTCTTTTTTGAAATGGATAGTAGTCAATGTCTGTCTTCTGCTTTGGAATTGGAGAACTTCTGATGTTGGAAAGAGATTTGTTGAAATATTCACTAGGAAAGAGAAACCGTTAGTTCATTTGAATTGTATTGCATTTTGTTAAACTAAACGGATGATAAATGAAACAAACTAACAGTAACAACTACGTCAGACCTTGAACCATGTTGGTCAATTGGTATTTTATCAAACGGTTTTCTTATATGATTTTCAGCCTTTAAAATAGTGTTTGTTAGACGTCTGACTAACAGATGTGCAAGAAAAATCTGTGCAACTTTAGTAGAGTTGCAGAGATTTTTAACACAGTTCCTTTACACATGAATCAAGTTTGATTCATGTGTAAAGGAACTGTGTTTGTAGCTGCATTTAGGACGCAAGCATAAAAAGTTCATCTTTTAGATTTTGGAAGTAGATTTGAGCGTGTAGAGTTCAGACTAGTTCACCAATTTCTGTCTATAAACGGCTGGGTTTAATAAATAAAGCATTAAACTACTTACATTTAAATAAACCTTGAGTATTGATGAATATACATTTTGCAGACTGTGATAAGGTGAGAACTTAAGTTAACTTTTAAAAAGAACACGTGCTCATGCAGAGGATTATTTGGTTTACCTTTTCTAAGAATATCAAAATTCTCTTCTTCTATTTAGAGCAAAACAGAACTCACAGTAAACAAAAAGTATTTGTATTTTTCCAACATGTTATATAGTCGAGACTATAGTCCACATATCTCACACAAAGTAGAGACCCAGAACAGAAGAGAAAGTTAAAAGATATTTTCGTTTTTCTATGCATTAGCACAGTGGGTAATGTTAACATCTCACGTTTGTGCCATTTGTTCAGACGACGATAAGTACTATCCATTCAGACTGTCTATATTTTCCTCCATGAATACATTCTTTCGAAACAACTTACGTTCAGTTTTTATATTTGTATCAATACACTATATGCCACTATTTATGAACGTTAAGAAAACGCTTCGTAAAACAGCGCCGTCTTTATTATGAGTCGACTAGTATAGCAATAAGACTCTAACTTGTTGAACCAGCAACCTTCTCTTCTTTGTCTTTCTTTACCAGCTCATTGTATAAACTAACAGAAAAGCGAGAGAACGACGAAGTTTTGTAGGTGATATGTTTAATATTTTTAATGATTTTTCCATTAGTAGTATCTTGAATTTATATTAGGTTAATTTTCACAGTACTTGAGCTCAACCAAGTGAGCTCTGACTAATATTTTCTGACAACAAGACAGAAATTAAAATTTTTCGTTTCAAATAAAACCATCCTTTTTCTGCATTTTAGAATCATCATGAGTGTCATATGTCCGCTGAAACTTTGTGTGCCTAGGTGTTATAACGACTTGTTACACATGGATTATTTATATATATTCATGTAGGCTACATAAATATATATAAATAATCCATGTGTCTCGCAAAAGTAAAATTAAACTTTCATTTTTATCTCCTCGTATTTAAGCTATTTTTCAAATTAATGAACACAACAGATCTATCCAAAGAGAGGATGAGCGAAAGATTCCATATATAAGATGAATTTAATGTTTCGTAGGATCCAAAATGTAAAACTTTAACTGATAGATGTCCTTGCAGTTTAACTCACGAGGGACCGTCGCCACATCCGATTTCAGCAAGCTTTTACCGATAGATACTATATAGTGTCATTCATCATTTCTCAGAGCATTTCTTCTATATATGACTGTACAATTCTTACTTTTCGATTCTGAGCTAGTGAGAGAATGTAAAACATTTTTTTATACAATAACCTTCAAGTTTAGAATCAAATAAATTAGGCTTAAATTTTGTCATGCGGGTTTTCAAAAACACCGAAGTATTGTACAAAAATATATTAACTTCATACTTTTAGTCAATGATTGGTGAATTGCAGATAAAAGCTACTTGTTGTTAGAATACATAAACATACATTTTAAAAATAGAAAAAACAAATTAAAACTAAATGACGAAAAACACACACACATATTAAATAGTCATACGATTCAATTGTTATTTTTGATATATTAACCAACAATGGTTAGAAGGAAGTTTGCGGTATGGACACACTACAACGTGAAACAAACATACTATAGTGGAGCGTAAGAAACTAATGTTTTGAATGCAACTCCCTCAAATAGTTTCATATTCACATCCACAACTAATCAGTCTTTACAAAGACTTGTTTTCTCGATTATCAAGCATTTAGAATAAGCACGGATACAACTTACGTGCGACAATAACGAATCGATAAAATAATAGAAGGTATACTGGTAACAACACATCCAAGCCCCAAGCCTAGACCAAGACCTAGTTTCAGTTTAAGATCACCGTCACCTGTGGACGGGGCTGCCGCCAACAAACTTGGTGTTGTCACATCTAGAAACAGAAAGAGAACGAAAAGTAGTCGGACAATTTCTCCTGGCCCTTGACTCATATCAGATGAAAATTTCGATCATAATTTCTTACAAGTGGTTGAGTTAAAGCGACACTAAGGACGCAACTGCAATTTCACACTGTTATTAGAATCTACAAGACTTTTCTCACCTGTCACCATTGTACCAAATCTTGTTGAGTTTGCAGGAATTATTACAGCGGATGTAGCACTGCAACAGTCATATATAACGCAACAAAGTGGACAAGTGGCTAGAAAACAAAAATAACTTGTGAAATTAAAGTTATGATGGCAAAATTACGTTACTTGTGGTCGTTGTTGTTGTCGTGGTTGTTGTCGTTGTTGTTGTCGTGCTTGTTGTCGTACTTGTAGAGGTAGATGTGGTTGAGGTGGTCGTGGTGGACGTTGTCGCTGCTGGAAAAATAATAAAAATGTTTGGTGAAAGTATCGTCGATTGTCAAAATTCCAAAACGGACAGCACACAAAGATATCAAGCAAATCCAGAACAAGGGTACTCTTCAGTAAATAAAAACTTCTCACTAGTCCTAGACGTCGAGCTCGTTGATGTTGTCGTTGTAGTGCCTTCGAAAAGAAGAGAAATGTAGAATATTCATTATATATACAACATTTCTCACTTGTTGTTGATGAAGTGCTGGTTGAGGTGCTACTCGTAGTAGACGTTGTTCTTGCTAAAAAGAACGGAGCACTGATCATCACGAAAAACCCTCTAGATTTCTTCGATTTCTCTAAACCATATAACGGTCGCTTCAGAATAAATGAACCTCTCAATATTTTGACCATAACTTATATCAGCGGAGTAAAACAATAAAGTTGATTTTGAGTTGCTACAAAGTGCATTCGTATTCAGCACACGATAATCCGGACGATTCTACTTTTCCCAAAGGGTGCTTCCAACGGTTTCGGAAAAATTTGACAACAAAATGGCGCACAAACATTCAAATGAGTAAATACTAGTCTGCAAATTTTTGCTACACTTTTGGCAGTATCACTCATCAAAAACAGAAAATCCTCATAGCTATCGTGTCCTGAATACAAAAAGCCACTTTGCAGCAACCCAAAACCAACTTTATTTTACTTTGGAGGTTTCTTCCCTTTAAGGATATATTGAGTTACTTTTTCCCTACAAACCTTCCCAGTTTAATCGTCAACAAAATCTATATTCTTTCCATACATCACAAGTAAAGAAATACAGCCGAACGACTCCGAAATTTCTTCACCCCGCACCATTGAGAGCGCAATGAAAAATTATTTTGAACACCTTCCACTGCCTAACGTCGGACAGAAACAAAAGCGCGGACAAGAAGCGAAGCCTATGTTCAAACATACACTTCGATTATTCTAGAACGATTCGAACTGCTTCGACACACGTACTTGTTGTAGATGTCGAGCTCGTTGATGTTGATGTCGAAGTTGTCGAGCCTGGTGGAGAATAAGAAGTAATGGAATGGTAGAAGCTTTTGAAGTACGCAATTTCTTACTTGTTGTTGATGATGTACTTGTTGTCG